CCCCCACAACCTACTTTCTCATTCAGATCAAGCATACTGTCAACATTTATGGGAAGCAAAAAGTCGTTAATAATAATATGTTTGCCAGGTGTGTGAAAGGTTGTTATGTCTAGAATATACGTATTCCGTATTTGATATTATGTGTATAAACTAATGTGTCTACACTGTTTAAAAGAAATGTTTTTATTTACCTTGAGTATTGTGTGTGTCTGTGTGTGTGTGCATGTGTATGTATGTTGTGTATGTGCGTGTGTGTGTGTGTGTGTGTGTGTGTGTGTGTGTGTGTGTGAGAGAGAGAGAGAGAGAGAGAGAGAGAGAGAGAGATGGATTAAATACCTTATTACAAATAGAGAATTGAGCAGTTGAGCAGATCTGGATCTGAAAGCCACCCAGTTTATGGGAATAAAAATGCACTGTAGGCTACCGTGCTGTTTTGTTTGAATTAAAGAGGTTTGGCAACGTCATTCCCCCTCTCAACGGACAAATTATTACATAACTAACATCTTGCAGTTATTTTCTATAGCCATCATAGACTTTTATTGATTTAAAATGACTCAGATCTTGCTTTCTAATGCATTACCTCCTTCAGATCAAGCATACTCGCTTCCTTAGAATTACAAAGTTTTATCTGATATTTTTGGCCGTTTTGAGTTACTGAGACCATGATGAACTATACGTTACATCTGCTCTATCAAAATCGTAAGACTATTCAGAGTTGTTATCAAGATAGTTATAGAATTCCATTCGAAAAAGCTTGACACGTTGAGAAGCCCAAAAGTTTAAACGTTACATTTCTCAAAACTAAGTACTGAGCAAACAGAACTTTGTAATTCTAGGGTAGATCTAGCGTATTGACAACATGACTTTTGTTTGGGAGTAAAAAGTCTTTAGTATAAATATTTGCCTTCTGACGCATTTCCGGTTCACCGTGATGTGTACCATGTGAGTCAAATGAGGAGCAAGGAAGGGGTGGTTTTTTGGGGGGCTTTTTTTTTTTTTGGGGGGGGGGGGGGTGTTGTGATGTGACATACGCTTGACAACAGCGAGATTGGTGTTTTCGGTTTTCCCCTCAAGTGCTTGTATTGGCGTGGCCCATAGTACGCACGCTACACAAGTTTTAACAGAGAGCGAAGGGCAGCGGCGATGATAGAGGGAAAAAAAGGAATAAGAAACGACACGTTATTTTAGTTTTAGTTAGAGTTTTACAGCACGTGCAACGCAATAAGGTCATATAAGTGCCGAAGATTAGAGGTGTTACAAGAGAGTAACAAACACCCCAAAAAAGAAGGGGAAATAAAGACGATAAATGTTTGATAGGATAGAAGAACCAAACCACACCAGAGCACCCGCCAACCTCCCACCACACGTTATTGATCCTGGTGGGAAAGTATGGGGGCTACAACAAAGGTAAACAGACATACATAACTACACCAAATACACAAACAAACACTGAAAGAACAGCAAGTACACGATATTACACCAATTCCGAACAATCTTACAAACATGTAATTGTTGGTCGCCACTGTGCAGCACTTTTAAAGCTTTGGATGTTTTTTAAAATATTTTGTTAGTTACTCTTTTTTTTTAGCTTGGGTTATCTTGTCTTGCTTAAGGACACACCCCAGTGACCACCCATCTAAACCGTGTGTCACCGACACTTGTTTGACATTTAACCTGAGTCTGAACTCATAACTCACTCGGCCACTGAATAGTTCACAGTCTAGGTCTAGGAGTATAATGTTATGTCTATGATGGACAAAGACAATGAGACAAATGAATAATAATATAATAATGTGTAACTCTTACGTGGTGACGAAACTGGTTGGCAAGAAAACTGCCAAAACCACAATTATAACATCGCCCCTCATGTTTGTTTTTTTCTTTCGTCTGTTACGAAGTAGCCCAGCTAAAACAAGGGAGTCGTGTTTGAAGTTTGGACAGAGCTCACACCATCACTTCGCTTGTTTCTGACGTCATCTTGAGGAGATGCGGGCATCTGTAAGTGCAAGAGGTCGAAACAAGAATCAATGTTTTATTCATCAGGTATACTATCAGGAAGGATGTGGGGCAGGATGTGGACATCTATAAGTGCAAGAGGTCAAAACAAGAATGAATGTTTTATTCATCAGGTATACTATCAGGAAGGATGTGGGGCAGGATGTGGACAATCTGTAGATCTAAGTGCGAGAGGTGGGAACAAGACTTATTATTTTATTCATCAGGTGTATCAGGGAGGATGTGGGGCAGGATGTGGACAATCTGTACGTGCAAGAGGTCAAAACAAGAATTATATTTATTGTTTTATTCATCAGGCATATCAGGGAGGACGTGGGGCAGGAGAGCCAGGGGAACAGGGGAAGACACTGAGTAACAAGGATGGACAACATAAAAACATAGACTAGCCTGGATAAAGCAGAATGCAACGGTAGCTCGCGAGCGACCGTGAAGGATAGAGGGTCATTACACGCCAAACTCCGAGTCAGAGATGACACCTCCGGGTATCCAGGAATAAAAAAAGAATTGATTTGAACTAGTCGGTGGGTGGTGGGCGGGTGCTCTGGTGTGGGGTTTTCTCCTTCTTTCCTATCAAACATCTGTCGTCCTCATCTTTCTCCCTTGTGTGTGTGTG